CAAAGCTACCATACACATATAAAAAAGAAAATGTAATGTTTTTCTTTCTCAGTCTGGGATACCTCACTTAGAAAGACTGTTTCCTTTTCCACCCAGTGGCCTGTGAATTTCATAATTTTGTTTTTTGTCATAGTTGAATGATATCTCATTGTGTAAATGTCCCAAATTTTCATTACATATTCATCAGTGGATGAAAATCTGGGTTGTTTCCATTTCCTGGCTACTGTGAAAAGGGTAGCAATGAACATACATGATTAGGTATCTCTGTTGAAGGTATAGGGTCTTTGGGTTATATGCCCAAGAGTGGTGTGGCTGGGTAACAGGGTCAGATTGATTTCCACCTTTCTGTGAGGCATCTCCACACTGATTTGCATTTTGGCTGCACAGTCCGCACTCCCACCAAGGGTGGGTGACTGTCACCCTTGTCCCGCATCCCTGAAAACATTTGTTAATTGTTTGGTTTTGGGGTGCTATTCATGGTGAGTGGAGTATTAAGAAATCTCAAAATGGTTTTAATTTGGATTTCCCTTATGACTATTGATGCTGAACATTTTAAAGGAAGTTCTTAGACATTTGCATTTCATCCTTGTTGAACACCCTGTCCAGCTCCTTGCCCCATTTTAAATTGGACTGTACAGGTTTTGATGGTTAGTATTTTGAGCTCGTTGTATATTCCAGATAGTAGCCCTCAGTTGCCACCAGAAATTGAAAACAAGACCCTACTGCTGTAGACAGTACACACATGAGCTATAGAACAAAAAGGAGAAATCAAGTTGGTACTGATTTCAAAGTTTCATCTCCACTGGCTAGTCTTCATAGTGATGGAAAAGAAATTGAACCCATAGATGACTAAGCACAGGAAAATAGTATTTCCTATTTTGTGAGAAGACACATTGCTTGCAGACAATAAAATTTCAAGTAATTAATAAAAAGGTTATATTTTAAAAAGAAAAACTGGGACTACATTGAATCATCTAATATAAGTGCTCAGAAGTGGAACATGAGATAAAACATGCTGTTTCAACATATTTTAGTGGTAACATTTAAAAATATACCTATAAAAATGTTAAAGCTGTAATGATATGCTTCTTCTAAAAAAAAATAAAAATAATATTTTTTAAAATGTAGGAAACAGCATACCTTGAAATGAAGATCTTCTTTAAAGGGTAAAAACTCATCCAATTTATATCTTACAGGGTTTATACTTAGTTCAATATTGTATAACTGTATTGATTCAACTGTGAACCTAAAAATTTACAGCCACTTTTGAAAGAGATGTATCCTTGCTCTGGAGTGTTACTGAATATATTAAAGCTGTAATAAAATGCTTCTTCTAATCATGTGATTATTAAATTAAAAAAAATTTTTTTAAATCCAAAATTCCTTATAGGAATGAAACATGAAATAATATAGAATTAACTTTCCCAAGGTGTGCTGAGTAATGAAAACCTCAGAGATGAGCCAATGTTGAGTGGGAAGAGACATGTGGGACATTTACAGTGTCCTATGCATTTCTCTCTCTCTCTCTCTCTGTTTTTTTTTTTTTCCTTTTCTGGTGTTTGTGATACAGGGTCTCCTTGTAGTCCCAGCTGGCCTGGAATTATTTGTGTAGGTAGACAAGGCTAGCCTGAATCTCACAGAGATCCACCCACCTCTGCATCCCGAGTGCTGGGTATAAAGGAGTGCACCAAACCAGGCAACTTTTAGTTGGAACAGTTACTTATACTGAATAATTACGTAGACTTTTAAAACTCATTGGTTAGTAAATTAATATCTGTGTAATCAAATATATAAAAAACCTTCTAAAAGAGAATTATAAAAAGATATGTTAAGTTAAAAGCAAAAAGAACAGTTCAATTAAAAGGAAATCTGGTGACTTTATATTTCACTTGACTGCTTGAAACAATGAATACATTTGAACCCAGTTTTCTTTCCCGTCTAGAAACACTATGTCCATTACAGGGTGAATAGAAAGAATGTGATACTTTGGATGTCATCATTAGAAATCTCATACTGAGTGACTGAGTGACAGGACTGATTGATTCAGTACCATAACGAAAGTCAGAAGGGAGCTGGAGAGATGAGTTAGCCGTTAAGAGCACTGGCTGCTCTTGCAGAGGACTTGGGTTTGGTTCCTAACACCCACATGGGAACTAACAACTGTCCTGAACTCCAGTTTTAAGGGATCCAATGCCCACTTCCGACTTCTATGAGCACTGCATAACATGGGTGCTTTTACATACCTGCAGGAAATACACTGTTATACATAACATAAAAATAAATTTTAAAAAGCCAGACATGGTGACTCATGCCTTTAATCCCAGCACTTGGGAGGAAGAGAGCAGGTGGATGTCTGTGAGTTCAAGGCCAGCCTGGTCTACATAGCGAGGAGACCCTGTCTCAAAAGACCCCCCCCCCAAAAAAAAAGAAAGAAAAAAGAAAAGAAAGTCAGGGCTGGGCATGGTGGTGCACACCTTTACTTCCAACACTTGGGAAGCAAAGGCAGGTGGATCTCTGTGAGTTCAAGTCCAGCCTGGTTTACATGGTGAGTGTCATGTCAGCTGGGGTTACAAAAAAAGGAAGAAGAAGAGGAGGAGGAGGAGGAGGAGGAGGAGGAAGAGGAGGAAGAGGAGGAAAAAGAAACTCAGGAGAGAAGATCATGCTTTCTCAAACATAACTATAGAGGCTGTTATTCTACAGGAAGAACTCAATCATGAACCCAGAGCAGCAAATACCTGAGGACAGGTTAGGTTAGTTCAATGATTTTCCATCATTCTCTCATGTCACATTTCCCAGGTGAAGAGCCCCTAGATAATGATCGCTGTCTCTTTGATTATATTTACTTATTTTTATTTTGTGACATGCGCTATGCATTTGTGATGTGCATCATGATGTTTGAAGAGTAGACACACTGTACGTGACTCATGCTACATAGTGAACACGCACGTTCCTTCACGTTCCGAGCATTCTCTGGTCAGGGCACATTATATTCATTCTCCTGTTACTGTCTCAGCAGAAAATACAGAGATAACTAAGGGACACTGGATCTTTTTTAACTTATTTCTCCTTTGAAGCTGGAATTTTATTTCTTTTCTCTCATGTTTCTACACAACAGATTGTGGATTTATTTCATCTGATCTACAACTGAACAAAATTATTCATCAGATAGAATAGTATACTTTGGCTCCATCTTTAGAGGTAGAGGTTTCAGTCCAGTATCCATGGGGCTCAGAGACTAACAGACAATGTCCATGCTAAACCATAGATGGAAGTCATGACATAAGAATCTCATCTCATGGCTGATGAGAATTACAGAGAGAAGGAAGGTACCTGAAGGAGACACAGCCTCCAAACCACGGCTCTGTGAACTGTATCCTATCTGTGAAGAATACTGAAGTCAGAAAGATTATGAATGAACAAGCCTATGAGCAGCATGAGAAAGCATGGATCCCAAAGAAGCCAGGAGTGACTCGCATCTGCACAACAGGAGGATATGCAAATTTCTAAATTCAGAGAGGCCAGGGGTGGTGGCGCATGCCTTTAATCCCAGCACTTGGAAGACAGAGGCAGGCTGATCTCTGTGAGTTCAAGGCCAGCCTGGTCTACATAGTAAGTTCCAGGACAGGTGGGGCTACAGGGAGATCCTGTCTCAAAAAGACCAAAAAAAAAAGGTAGATAGATGGTGGCACATGTCTTTAATCCTCAGAGAAATCTTTTGGAGATGGATGATGTCTTGGGCAATGGAATTAGTCTGAAATATTATACAAGCTCAATTTTTACATCCTCTTTTCTGAACAACAGTATATAGCAACAGTAAGCAGAAAACAGAGGAATCCACAAATGCCATATGCAAAGTCACACATATTTAACAAATTCTTATTTAAAATGGGAAGACAATATACAATTTCTTGCTATATAAATAGTCTAAGCGATTCACATCAAAGACATATTTTTGGAAGAAATGCATTAATACTTCTAAAGCAATGGAAATCACAAGGACTCAGAAGGGCACAAACGCTTTTAGCACAGAAACAAAACAAAAGGCTTAAAATTTACTGATTTTACAATATGTTAAAAACTTGATTCACACTGGGTATGGTGGCACACGACTTTAATCCCTGAACTTGCAAGGCAGAGGTGGACAGATCTTTGTGAGATCAAAAGCCGACCTAGTCTCCATAGTGAGTTCTAGGTGTTGGGAGACCTCTGTTATGCAAGTCGAAGCCCCTTCACACTGGACAGCTCATGCAGCTCGGGAATGTGCTGCGGGCTCCTTTTCATAGCAAGGTGCTTTCTGGCATCTTTCCTGTCTCTCCCTTTGAAGAGGCCACCACAGATGCCTTGACATAAACATGGCCTTTGGCTCTATGCATACCATGCCTTCCTGTGTGTGATTTTTACAGGTAGACAATAGTCTAACAGAAACCCACTTCCACATGTAAATAGAATATCTCACAAAGTATCTAAAAGCTTTTACCACTACCCCCATGGTATATAAATATGCTAGTCTTCTCTTAATAGTCGGAGATCAGGTCAGAGACTGGGTCCCGGAGATTGGGTCCCAGAAAGCTGCATCAGAGAGAGCTGGACAGCAAGGAGCAGAGATACAATAAAGCAGTAAACACAGACTAAGCCGTGCCTTGAGTCCTGTGTCTTACTACCTGTGACCTGATCTCACTGGAGAGCAGCACTCTCCATTACCGACCCAAGGATACCCCAGCTTTCGCCGCCTCTGTGCCTCTTCCCTGTGGAGTTCACTGGCCAGAACTCCACAATCCTGAGGAAGGGCACAAGAGTGTAATAGAGGCAGGATTCTGACTAGATAATACTCTAGTAGCAGAGGAAGCTCTCCGCTCCAGAGAAGTGTGTAGCTATCAGCTACAGCCAGCATCAGAGAAGTCTGCGCACCTGCCATCTCCAGAGAGGCGCGGCTGGCCAGGCCTGCCCCAGAACCACGTTGGGAGAGTGCAGGTACACCTGACCCTGGGCCATATCCAGAGTGAGTGCGCCCGGGAGCCCAGGCACGCTCCCCACATCGCTTTCGGCCAGGTGTGGCGGAGACCCCAAGGTGCCTGCACACACCACGCCGGGGGTCCAGCGACCCGCCCCATATCTAGGCAACAATCACCCTGCCTCAAATAAACAACAACAACAAACAAACAAAAACAAAACAGACCTTGATTCAATACATCTTAACATATATGACAGAATGCATTAAATCTGCTAACCAGTCACGGTGGGGTGTGGATAGAGGAGAGGTATAAAGATGATTATGATGTTTTGTATCAAATGCACAAAAACTCAATAAAAATATTCATTGAAGAAGGTAGTAAAGAAAAACCCACATTGAAAGTTGACATAAAGGATATGGAATAATTAAACAATTAAATGGTGATATTTGTATATTACAAATTTGCAAAGAGCCAGGCATGGTGGCACGTGCCTTTAATCCCAGCAGAAGCAGGTGGATCTGTGTGAATTTGAAGCCAGCCTGCTTAGCAAGTCCAGGCCAGCTGTGGCTATAGGGAGACACTGTCTCAAAAAAAAAAAAAGAAAAAAAAAAGTCATCTGCCATTTACTACAGGACAAATATTGATGATATTGTTATAAATTAAATCAGTCTCTTTCTAGAGAAACAAGCTATGGCAAAACCATTTTCAGGTCTTTATCCCTCTTTACTTAGGACCTCTCACCTGGGCCCGTCCTTCATCCACTCAAACCTACCTGATTGGCTACAGTCTCCCCTCTCTTCACATCCCAGGGCTCTTTGCTTTGCTCCAGACAGGAGACCAGAACAGGCTTACACACAGCAAGACCTGTGTATGAGACAGAGGCACATGCGCTTGCTGGATTCTTCAGAAAGTACGGGATTTCTAACAGTACTGTGCTCCACTGATAATATAGATAAAAAGAGATGACTCTCCAAATAATTTCCCAAGTTTTATTTCTGACACAATAGAATACACAAGAATTTTTTTTTCAGTTTTCATATGGTGAGTTCTATCACTGACTGAAAATGCAGCTATGGAAATGGAACTTTGAGATTCTGGCTACAGTATCATGTACTAATGTGTGGCTGAAATTAACATCAAAAACAATGAATGTGAGTAATTTCACTAACAAGTGGAAATGGAAAGAAATGATAAAATATAAACATGTTCTTCACAATGCCAAACATTCCCAATAACTAATTTTTAAAGAATCTAAAACTTATTCATCAAAACTAACATATGTACAGAGTAGACTGACGTCTGTCAAAGAAACCAAAATAGTAAAAAATTCTGTATGAAACATCTCACCTACGGACACCAGATTGCTGTAGTTCTCCAACATCACCTCCCTGTACAAAGCCCTCTGAGCAGAGTCTAGGCATTCCCACTCCTCCTGGGAGAAGTCTATGGACACATCCTTGAATGTCAATGGATCCTAAAATGGGAAAAGTAAAGTTTGAGCATGCATCCTTGAACAGGGTACTGGACCTGAGGTAAAAAGAATAAGGTGTCAAGAGAATACAGGTGTCAACGAACCCAGCAGCGCATTCCACCAGGCCTGTGATGTGGGTGGGATTCAAATGATAAGGAAAGTAATATAATATCTGAATAAAGAAAACAAAAATATCAGTTTTATGTACAGTTCAAACAACACTACAGTGGCATATAAGGACCCAAGTCCATCTTCCTTAGGAACTGAAGACTGGCATGTTTGAATTTTCACCTATCACATCAGAAACATTTTTGAGATGGTTGGTCATGAATTCACTGGATTAGCACTGGAGGTCAAAATGGAGAGGTGGATATGCCACATAGGTGATACATATGTAAAGAGTTGATATGGGCCAGGCATGGTGGCACAGGCCTTTAATCCCTGAACTCCAGAGACAGAGGCATGCTGATTCTCTGTGAGATCCAAGCCAGCCTGATCTACATAGATAGTATCTGGACCAGAAAAGGTTACAAGTTCAGAATACCAAACATTTTCAGAAACAAAGAGTACGGAGTCCATGCCCATGGATGTAATTACCTGAAATGACGCCATCTCGCTCCTCCTGTGAGTGTCCTTTCCAGAAATCTTACATAAACAGTCTCCTCTTTTGAGAAACTTCCTTTCAGTTCTCTGTAAATCCACTTCACCTGCCAACATACCAAGAGGAAGAAGCACCTCAGAAAACAAAACAGGCCGTTCTGTCTGCCATCACAGTGGATGCACAGGAAGAAAGCTTTCTGCTTTCCTGCCTTCCAGTGGCCGCCCTACCAGCAAGATCAAGAATTTCTACTACATCATGGGAATGTAGCCACCTCACCTCCTTACCTAAACAAGGCAGAGTAACATGGTTTTCACCCTTTGGAATAGAGGCTACACTAAGCTTTCCTTCAGAAGCACTGGCAGCTGACCCCCAGCCTCACTGTCTTCTGCCTGTGACTGTTAATGAAACAGCACTGATGCTTCTACTGAGCTTCACAGACAGAATCTGTGGCGGAGCCACAAGGGAGAGTTTTCCTTTTAAAGGCTAAAGTTCAGGAATAGTTCACTGTGATATTTAAAAGTCTATTCTTGGGGCTGGAGAGATGGCTCAGAGGTCAGTAATACTGGCTGCTCTTGCAGAGGACCTGAGCTCAGTTTGCAGCACCCACATGGTGCCAACAAGTGTACATAACACCTGTTCCAGGGGTTCCCACACTGTCTCCCGGCCTCCACAGACACGGCTCACATGATTGCACTTATATACATGCAAGCAAAAACTCTTACACATAAAATAAAAATAAATAATAAAAATGAAACCTTTATTGTCTGATGACACAATATTTTACATATCTATGAGGTTTCCTTGATATTTTGTTATATACATACATTGACTACTGATATAGTCAGACATTAATATATCCACATGTAAAATTTTATCCTTTCTTATGGTGAGTGTATCCAAATTGATCTTTTCTAAAAAGGTTTTAAGATATAAAATGCAAGCTGGAGAATTTCTTTCACCATGTTGTGGCATAAAACAGTAGAACATAGTTCAGCCATGAAGCCATGACACTGTGTCTGTTATTTACCCACATTCTCCCCATTCACTGCAAAGTGCTATTGTACCTTCAACATCGATCACCTATCTTTTCTTTTTCTATTTCTCTTATGGCTGAGATCATGTAGTGTTTCAGCTTCCTTTACCTGATACAGTGTCCACCAGATCAATCCTGTTCTCAAGTATGAGAAGATTCCACTCTTTTCTACAGTGGAATTGTAGTTTATTTTTTTAAAAAATATTTTATTCATTATTTTTATTTTATGTATATGAGTGTATTGCCTGCATATACGTAAGTGCGCCCATGTCATGCAATGCCCACAAGGACATAAGAGGCCATCGGATCCCCTGGAACTGGAGTTACAGACAGTTGTTAGCTGCCATGTGGGTGCTGGGATTCGAACCCGGGTCTTCTGCAAGAACAGCCAGCATTCTAAACCACTGAGCCATCTCTCCAGCCCCTGTAGTTTATTCTTTAGAAATACCACATTTCAGTAAATCTTTCATTTGTTAATGGGCATTTCAGTAGATTCCCTATTCTTCAAACAGTGCTGCCATAATTAGGGAGTGCACATATCTCTAGCCCATACTGAATTCACTTCTTTTCAGTGTCCATTCAGGATTTGGTGGTAGGAGCCACACTTAAGAGAGAACACCTGTGGCCTGTTTTCAGCATCTGTTTTTACCTCACTTAGTAAAACCATTTCTAGTTCCATCCATCTCCCTGCAAATTCCTTGATTTCCTTTTCTTTTACCACTCCATGTGTAAATGTCCCGAATTTACACGATCCATTCATAGGCTGAGGGACATTTAGGCTGTGCATCTGAATTCCAAAAAGAGTAAAATAGAAACAGTTTTTAAACTCTGGCTTATCATGTACTTACCTGAGACATTAAATGTATTTCTTCTGATGAGTTGGGAGGACTTTGGTTGAAATTAAGACTCTCACATTCTTGAAATTTCACAGGCAATATTGAAGGATCAGTCACTTTATAATAATTGGGCTTATAAGGCAGTTTTCAATCCTGAAGCTACCTTGTGATGTTTCTTCCAGTATATACATTTTAATATGAGAATTCATGAAATGGTAATTGTGTTAATAGTCAATTTCAAAAATGTACGAAGAGAACAAAATATCACACAGCACCTCCTGAATACATATAGTTCTTCTTTGTCAAAAGTTAAGGGGCCGCAGAGATGGCTCAGCAGTTAAAGCAACGGCTGCTCGTGCAGAGGCCCAGGATCAGTTCCCAGCACCCAGAGGGCGGTAATGACCATCTGTAATTTGAGTTGCAAGTGATACAATGCACTCTTCTGACTTCTGCGAGCATTTCCCAACATGTGTGCACATACATAAATGCAGGCAATACACTCATACACATAAAATAAAAATAATAACTAAAACGTTATAAATTAATATTAAAAAATGGAATCTATCCTATAAGTTTGCATTTTAATTTATGGATATCTGACTCCATGTCTCACAAACGTAATTTCTAATGCTTGATGATAATCTTTTTCCACACTAATAAAGTGTGCAGGGGTGTCACCTTTCTCTTGAGTGTGTTTCAGGACATCACCATCACCCCCAGGATCGCAGCTTAATGCACAAGATACCAAGTGCTCCAGCACCTTTGTATGCCTGTGCTGGGTGGTTCATGATCTGAAAGTACCTGGATTTCTCAGGGTTGGAGAGATGGCTAAGTGGTTAAGAGCACTGACTGCTCTTGCAAAGGACCCGGGTTCGATTCCCAGAACCCACGTGGCAGCTACAAACTGTCCTTAAGTCCAGTTCCAAGGGAATCCAAAGCCCTCTTCTGACCTCCGCGCATTGCACAACACGGGTGCACTCACATATACTCCTGACCTGAGTGTAGGCAATACACTCATACACATAAAATAAAAATAAATAGCCAGGTGTGGTGGCACACGCCTTTAATCCCAGCACTTGGGAGGCAGAGGCAGGCAGATCTTTGTGAGTTCAAGGCCAGCCTGGTCTACATAGTGAGTTCCAGGACAGCTGGGGCTACAAGGAGACCCTGTCCCAAAAAAGACCAAAATAAAATAAATAAATAAAATATTTTTTAAAAAAAGAAAGTACCTGGATTTCTAACACAGTATTGTGCTCAATAGATAAAGAGCAAACACAACAGGGAATTCTACCAATGACTCTCCAGTTGGAATAGTCTGTCAGAACACTGATATTTACAGAGATTCTTCAGGTTGCATATCTAGTGTTCCACCTCTAATGACAGCTCAGTCCAAACTCCAGGTTAGAAATGGAACTTTATGATTGGTTGACAATATTATATGCTGTAAAATTTCTGAACTGACCATGGAACAAAATGAAAGAAGCACAACCCCTCCCAAAGGACAAACATGAGAACAGACACAGTTACATTACAGTGTTCTTTTCTCCTCTGAGAATTTCACTTTATGAGATGTGAGAATCATTCACACAAAGTTAACACACACACACATAGTAGTTCCCCAAGGAACTTGGTGTATGAATTAGAAATTCTGTAAGAAAAATACCTCACCAACAAAAACAAGACAGCTATAATTGTCCACCGTCAGGTCTCTCTGCAAAGTGCTCTGAGCAGGATCTAGGCACTCCCTCTCCACCTGTGAAGTCCACAGTCACATCACTGAATGTCAACACACCCTGAAATGAAGAATAACATTTGACCACATGTTCACAGGCAGATTGCTTTTCATGATTCAAGGAAAGCAAAAAGATTGAGAGGCATTTTCTGATGTAGGGTGGATCATAGTATTCTGCAGATGCTTTTTGACATTGTCATATTCTCTAACACATTTTCTAACTGTGGAAATAGTATAGCAGGATATCCTCATATTTAGCATGCGTACTATGATTTTATGGGCTAGCGTGTCTAGAATTAAGAAGTCAACGTAATGTACACATTTTAATGTTGTATTCATATCACGAATTATATATTAAAACAGAACAATTAATGGTGATTTAAAAGTTTACTTAAGTGTTAATACAACTATAACTGTGGATGTCTGCTAAGATATGTTCTGATTGAATACAATCTAGAATCATTCCTTCTGTGACTAATTCTAACAAGCTCTTTAGGGATGGCAGGACCCCGTGTCCAAGCGCCACTGGCTCAGATACAGAAACGTAGACCACGGAAGTCAGAATGGACTGATGAGTTCACACTGGAAGAGCTTTGTTTTTTCCACAACAGCACGGGAGGAAGCACTGACTTGAAGTACACTTGCTGTACATTCACTATCTTTCTGCCATATTTGCCAACATCAGTTCATTAATTCAAATATTGTATGTGATTATTTTATGAGAACATTCTGGAAACCACAAAATTGCTGATAAAAATCAGGATTGTCTTCGTTCATATGATCTTAAATGTTCCTGAATGTAATAACCTTTAATAATCTACATCTAAGAGGATGCACAGGCTAACGTATTCAAGTATTTACAAACGAATTTTGAGACCTGAGCTCCTTCCTGTAGATAAGCAAGAACAAAGTTTAAATCCCTGGTGAGCTCCGAGGACCTGTCCTCTGCTCTCAGCCCCCGAACTCTGACTGCAGAGGGTCCCCGGCCACTCCGATCACATGACCAGGAGTCTTTCCCGCGGCCTCAGGTTCAGTCCACATTCTCCTCCCACCTGCCAGTCCCTCTCCGACCCGACCCGCATCCGCTCTGCACCAACCGCTCCATGTGGTTCCCGTGGCTGGGGGGAACGTTCGCATCCAGCTGAGTCTCGGTTGGGGTGAACTTTCGTATGCTGGAGACCGGTCCGGTTCGTCCGCCTCCGGTTCCGCAGCACCCTGCTCCTGAGTGGAGTGCTCCTTCTCTGAGGAGTTTTCCAGGCCCCCAGGACCCAGAGTCCCGCCAGACTTCAGCGCCACTTTGCTTCTGCTATGGCCCCGCCCACTCCGCCCCAGGTTCCTGTTACATCACTCTTCTGAGTCCGCCCCTGCCACACCCCTTCTCTAACCACATTGACTTTGCTCCACCTCCGTTCTTTGGGTTTCTCCTCTGACCCAGGTGACTGTCCCTGACCCACTCAGACCCCGCCCCTCGCACGCACCTCTAGATCCCAACCAACTGGCTCCAGCTGTCAGTCTAGCCCTGGACGCAGTACACAACTTTTTACAGGGCTGCTGTGGACTTAAACCACACCTGGACCTAATAAGACACCCTACCCCCTACCTGGACACCCTCTTGAGACACCCCAAAGACACCCAGCCTGAAGCCTCACCTTGGGAGTCCAACCTCCTGGGATAAAAAAAACTCAGGAAAAGACATCAGACAGCTTAAATACAGATGCCCAGAGCCCATCCCCCAAATACTAAAAATACGAAAAACCAAGAAAATATGCTCCCCCCCGCCAAGAAAAAGCAGCAATTCCGCAGCAATTTTCCCTAAGAGAGCAATTTAAAAGAAATCTAAGATACAGAACTCAAAAAAGAACACATAAATATGCACGGGAAGTTCAAAGCATATTGCTCTGAAAATTACGCTGAGACTGACCTGGACAGGGGAGAAGAATTAACTCATACTCAGGAAGCAGAGGAAGTTTATCGCTGACTACACTCAAGCTAACCTGCTCCAAAGATACTGAAGCATGGGCCAGAAATACATAAAGATTTTTATAGAATTTCTCATGTCAGCCCTTGGCAGTAATCATTTGGTAGATCTGAGGCTTCCAGCATCAAGGTATAAGTACCCCTTAGGTTATTATAGGAAATGTAAACAGCATTTCTGCAAAGCAGGTATTTCAGGCAGGTGTGGGCCAGGATTCTGACATTTTCAGTAACATGCAGTATTGCTGATGCCGGAATCATCTCAGGTATTTGAACAGATAAGACACATTGCAGCAAGTATTTCTTCAGGACCACTGCAAGAGGCAGCATTCTTCAAGACCCTCACAGACTATGGTTTTTGTCATTTTGTCTGTCTTGTCCTGTGACAGCTTAAAGCTTAGAGTGGAAAGTCCCTTTATATAGCTTTCTAGCACAGATCTAAAGTAGAGGTTTAGAAGGCAAATGCCTTCAAAGCACTGTTACAAAGTTCTGTTTCTCCTACACACATCAACAAGGACACTTATTATTAGGCATACATAGGCTCTTATCAAAAACATTTATTGGTACTTACTCATCTACCACACAGAACAAAGTTATACTGAGGTTCATTGGTTCCAAACTGGGTTAATTTGTCTTCATCAATATAAAGAGGAAACAAACACCTGAATGAACTTGGACAGAAATAAAATGAATTGCAAGAAAACTTTTACAAGCAAACGGCTAGATGAAATAACTAGGACAAGGTGGATATGAAAAGTGAATTCAATAATTAGACACAGAAACACTAAAGGAAACAAGAACTGAAATGAAGCAAGAAACTTAAACTTAATTACCCTAAGGAAAACCTCAACAGAGAGCGTCACTACCAGAATAGATCATATACACAGATCAGAACACAGAACGTGCGGCTTGAAGAGGGAGGAGGAACTGGATCAAGCAATCTAGCAAAAGGACAGATTTTTTTCTTTTTGGTCTTTTTGAGACAGGGTCTCCCTGTAGCCACAGCTGTCCTAGAACTCACTGTGTAGATCAGACTGTCCTTGAACTCACAGAGATCTGCCCGCCTCTACCTCCTGAGTGCTGGGATTAAAGGCATGTGCCACCACGCCTGGCCCACAAGGACAGATTTTTTAAAAATAAAGAAAGAAAATGCTCCATACTAGTAAAAGATACCAACTGCATCATCTACATTGATAAAAAAAATTCCTCTATCGTTTTATATATTAACTGTCACCCTGGAGAGCTTTCAAAAGATGAATAATCATTTCCTTCACTTTTTAAATGAAGTGACACTAAAAGACCACATTTATCTTTTCCCCCAGAGATCTCCCCTATTACCAATCAAATACCTGAAATTTCTCTAACAGTTTTCACCTTGAAAAAAGGTGGGTTTTGAGAGAAATTGGATGTCTCAAGAAGTGCCACAGGAAGCCCATGGCTGACAATCCAAGGCCTGAACTCATCCTGCAGTGTACGTCAGTTACCACAAGAGGGCGGTCTTGTCGTTTTGCTAACAAGTTTGCCTTCCAGAAATCAATGTTAAAAGTGCTTAAACCAGGCGTGGTGGCGCAGGCCTTTTAATCCCAGCACTCAGAAGGCAGAGGCAGGCGGATCTCTGTGAGCTCAAGGCCAGCCTGGTCTACATAGTGAGTTCCAGGACAGCTGAGGCTACAGGGAAACCCTGTCTCAAAAAGACCAAAAAAAAAAAAGTGCTTTTAGGAAAAGAATAGGATATTTGTTGTTTTTTTTTAGGATATGCAGGAATTTTAGGAAAACATTAAAAGACAAAACCTGAAAATTATGGACAGAGAAGAAAGAGAACTCCAGAACAAAGGAATGGATAATATTTTAAATTCACTTATACAAGACTATTTCCCAAATCTACAGAAAATGTTATCCAGACAAGTACAAGAAGCCCACAGAATATCAAATAGACAGGGTCAGAAAAGAAACTCTCCATGGTATATCATAGTAAAACCACTAAATATACAGACTAAACAAAGGTACTGAATGTTGCAAGAGAGAAGGGTCAAGTCCCACATAAAGACAGACCCACCACAGTAACAGCAGAATATTCAATGGAAACTTTTCTAAAGATTTTTTCTTTTTCTTTCTTTCTTTCTTTCTTTCTTTCTTTCTTTCTTTCTTTCTTTCTTTCTTTCTTTCTTCTTTCTTTCTTTCTCTTTCTTTCTTTCTGTTTAATGTATATGAGTGTATTGGTTACATGTGTGTAAGTACACCCACGTTGTGCAATGCCCGTGGAGGTCAGAAGAAGGCATCACATTCCCCTGGAACTGGGTTATGGACGGTTGCTAGCCATCATGTGGGTTCTGGGACTTGAACCCAGGTCCTCTGCAAGAGCAGTCAGTGCTCTTGACCACTGAGCCATCTCTCCAGCCCCTCAATGGAAACTTTTAAGTCTGAAGGATTTGCAGAGATTTTTTTTCACAACTGCCAACACTGTTACACTTCACAAAACTATCAAAAGAGAAGTAATGGGTTTTCATGACAGGGACTAAAGGAATATATGAGCACTACGCCGGCTCTACAGAAGATACTGGAAGGAATACTAGGAACAGAAGACAGGGATTAACACATGCAGATGTCACAGGAGAAAAAGAATGCCAACACTATTCCTCAAAATGGCCTAAGAAAACAGAACAAAATCAACAAAAGGACAGGAGTTAATACAAAATAACTCTGAATATTAATGGTCACAAATCCTTGCAGTAAAAGGGCACAGAGTAGCAGACTGGATTAGGGAAGAGGAGCCATCTTTTTGTTGCCTCAAAGAAACACGTGTTGCCAGCAAAGACAGACACCACCTTATGATAAAATGATGGAAAAAGCTACTCCATCATGGAACTAGGAAACCAGCAGGCAAATCTACTCAAATAACACACAAGATAGATTTGAAACTGAATTTAGCAGAAGAGATGAACAATGTCACTTCATCCTCATCAAGGGAACAATTGGTCAAGAGGACACCACACTTCTAAATAGGTACACACTAAAGATATTCTCTCAACAAATTCCAACATATTAATAGTCGGAGATTTCAATACTCCACTATCACCAAGAGACAGGTCA